GAGGAATTGAGAGGTGATGATTAATCTCTGGAAATTTTCTGGAATTCTTAATAAATGTCAGTCTACCCTATACCCTATCTCGACTGGTGATTACACTCCCACCCGGAAAAAGAGACTATTTGACTTTTTGATGAGAACGCTCTTAGATTGTCGTTTACACATGATACGCAAGACTTGAGTGATGAAGGGTACGAGAAAAATAAGCACGAAAATGATTTTCCAACTGCCAAGAAATGACCAAAGGGAGAGGAATTTCTTTCCGAGCGAATCCTTGATCTCCGTGAAGAGTGAAGAGAATCCTGTTTCCTCCATTTCCACTTGCTTTGCTCTGAAAGATCGTTCTGAAGATGCGGTTCAACGACAAAGTCTAGCTGACCATACAGAGAGAAGGATGACCCTCCCCCCGAGCATTTGACTGTACAGTTTGCATCAATTCTCGCATGATCGAAGTGGAATACGGCTTTTGTGATGTATCCGTTCGGGTTGCAAATGATCAGCTGTGTTTGATTTCCGCATGTGATTTCTGCTGTGTCTTCATTGAATGACGATTTGCACAAGATGTCGACTGTTGCTCCTTTGTGACATGAGTAGCAACCTCGTATTGTGCTAGCGTTGATGTGGCATTCGTTGGCTGATCGTCTTGTATAGATCTGCATATGATCGACATTGAGCTGAATTGATATGCCTGTTCCGGATGACGTTTTGGCGAAAACCTTGTTATTGTCAGTGAGTAAGATGACGTTTTCTCGGGCGAGTGGGAGTGTCGGTGAATTGTCGCTTAACAGAGCGTGAATGGTGCCTTGTGGGCATTGACAAGCGGCGTCGTATACAGTCGTCGTGCATTTGCATGTCGATTGTGCGTATATGCAGTTGTTGAAGTTTTCCGCTTCTTCTCGTGTGTTGCATTGTAATTGTCCGGCTGTGTACGGGAGTAGTTGTCCTGCTGGTGTGGGGTCGATAATCGTTGTCTTGTTGCCATCGGTTATAAAGAAATTGGAGAGAATCGGAAAGTTTGGAGTGGTAGTTGATACTAGAGCAAGTTGAATATCATTCCAGCGATACGGTGTTGCAGGCTGTAGGAGGAACTGATGAGATTGTTGTTGTTGATGCATTGTAATTGTGATTATTCCCGAAACTGTAATGGGCCAAGTCGGACAGCTGAACACTCTGTAAATCGTTGAGGATTCGGGTTCTGCGTAATTCCGGTAGAAAATACAAGTTTCTTTGCACCAAAAGCACCAATCGCACCATAGACATTTACAACTCGGTGCGCAGTATGTGAAACCTGGTCTTTTGTTCGCATTCCGACTGATTTCCGGGATTGTCGATCGAATTGTCGTCCCTTTGCATGTTGCACCGGTACAGCTGTAAGTTCCCCAGCATTGATGGTTTGACTCCACGTGAAAACTGTGATCGCGGGTGAAGAATTGGGTTTTCTGCTGACATGTATAAACAACGCTGTTCAGTCGAAGATGGATGGTTCCTGCAGGGTTATCCTTGGAGTCTCGTAAGAGGAGGCATGACTCCTGGCCGATAGTTCGGAGATGAAGTATGACTGCTTGGTTTACTACGTATATCTCAGCAGTCTCGTTGAATTCGCAGTTGTGGGATTTGCTTGTTATGCTGACGATATCTGAGCACGATGATGATATTTGGACGAATGTAGCCAAA